GCACGCACCACCATGCCCAGCTAACGTTTTTGTATTTTTAGTAGAGACGGGGTTTCACCATGTTGACCAGGATGGTCTCGATCTCTTGACCTCGTGATCCACCCGCCTCAGCCTCCCAAAGTCCTGGGATTACAGGCTTGAGCCACAGCGCCTGGCTATTATCTTTTTGGTACTTATTCACTACATTTAATTAGCTTATTTATTCATGAATTTGTCTACTTGTTTACTTTTATTTCTCATTGTACTTTTCCTATCTTTTAAAATGTGATTGAATACCTGTCTCCACCAGCTAGAGAGCTGTTTTGCCCAAAGTCATGGCCCAATTGTCAAGGAGCATCTGACCAGGGTCCCCTCCTCTCATCATGCAGATTCCTTTCTCCTCTTATGCATCTCCCACACGTGAAAGGAACCGTGTAAACATCTTCCCTGGAACAGGAGGCCATCTGCCACTCCACATATAAGGACGCTCCTTCCCGCAGGGAGGCTCCACGTGTGTCAGATCCATTTCCCCTTGTGGTGGCTCCAGACACCTCATCCTTCCAGCAGATGCCGGCTGTCTACATGCCTCAAGCTCATCTGTTGCAGGCTGAGTTTCCTAGGAAGCTGACTGTGAGATGGAGTTTAGGATGCAGGATGTTGATCAAAGAGTGATCTAGGTTCAATACCCATGGAAGGATATGGGGGAGCATGAGTGGGCAGAGGGAGGAATCAAACCATGGTACAGGCCCAGGGACTGCCTGTCCTGACCCCAGGCAGCTCTGGAGCTAGAATGGCCTATCTGAGTTGTCCAGTTTGGGCCAAGATCGCTGAGCCTTCCTATGCCTGCCTTTGCTAGCGATTCACCCAGGAGGGGGCATGACTTTGGGCTAAACAGCTCTCTACAGCAGGGGCCAGCCCTGGAGCAGCTACAGCCAAGGGTCATCTGCCTGAAGCACTCGCAGTAATTTGGGGAACAAGCCATTCATTAAGGGGGATCTAAGTCGTGTGTCTCCGTGTCCCCCACCTGCATTCTGTCCAACCCAAAAAACAGAGCAGTGACATGACAGGTCCCCTAGGCTCGTACTCACAGGGATTATCCTCTAGCTGGTGGAGACAGGTGTTCAATTTTTTTAAAAAAAACTTTATTTACAAAAACAGGTGGCAGGCCAAGTTTGGCTCACAGGTTGTAGTTGGCTGACCTTGCCTCAAATCTTGCTCCAGGACTGAGCTCTGACACCAGGTTACACCCTGGCCTAGGATCAAGCCCAAACATGAACCAAGGCCAAGCCCTGAACAAGCCCCAGAATGAAACTCGGATGAGGCTCCAGCTTGTGCTGTGACCCCAGAGACAGCCGTGACTCAGAGGCTGACTAGGTCATGACCCTGATGCTAGACGAACCCTAAACCTTGGCCTCACACTAAGCCCTGGATCCTACCATAGCTAAATCCTGACTTGACTCTGGCTCTGGACAGAGCTCTGGCTCCACATGGAGCCCTGGTCCAGTCCCAGACAGTTCTGACCCCAGACTGAACTCTCATCCCAACTTCAGATTAAGTCCTGACCCCAGACTGAGCTCCAATCCTAAGTGAACCCTGACCCCAGACTAAGCTATAACCTCAAACAAAGCTCTGACCCAAGACTGACATAGTTAAATCCCCAGGACCCTCAGTCCTTTAGGAATGGACTAAATGGCAGGCACTCAGATCCAGCTGGCGTCTGGCCTTAGCTTTGGATTTCCAGCCTGATTTGAGTGCCACATATCCCTGGTCACTAGGAGAAGACAGCCTGTCCCTGAGCCAGGGCTTTGCATGCAACTTCCTTTCCCTTTGAGGTACTTGAGCAGGAATATTTGAGAAACGTGGTGAACCCCTGGATCCTTTAGCTCTGTCACACAGTGAGTCTCAGTAAAGGCCTGTTGCTGGTGTCCTTCTGAGTACCCCATGGGCAGCCAACTCTAAGGCTTTTCCCAGTCTTGAACTACCTGTTCTGTCCTTCCTCTGTTGAGGGCATGGTCGGGGTATTGCCCTAGTTGAAAGTTATTTTCTACCTGCACGTTTTTCTTTTTAGTTTCCAAAACCACACTCTCACTCACACTCTCCCTTCGACTTCTAAGCTGTCTTCTGTCAATTTCTCCACCTCTCCCACCCACAAGCAGGGCTTTCTCATTGGCTGTTGAGGCGGCTTCTGCTTTCCACTGGGGCTGGAATAACCAGTGAGGCCAGTTTTATCCCATTAAAGTGCTACTCAAAGGCGCCAAGGGCAAGAGCGTGGTACTGTAAACAGGGTTACCTGGCAGGTGACCTCACCACCTTCAGCTACGTTCCCTTCCTAAACACCCACACTGGGACTTCAAAAAGTTAATGGAAAAGTAACATTAAAATATAAACATAAAAAACAAACTTTATTTCTCAACATGAGCTCTGTCAAGTTCAAGACATTTTTGTAAACACTAATACCTGCCATTGAGTCCATCCCTAAAGAACTGAGGGTCTTGGGGATTTAACTGTGTCAACGCAGTCTTTTTTCTTTTTTAACACAATTAACTGAAGTAAAATGGGCACCTTTTAAAGATTTTGTTTTTTAAGATTAGGAAATAGGCTGGGCATGGTGGCTTATGCCTGTAATCCCAGAATTTTGGGAGGCCGAGGCGGGAGGATCACTTGAGGTCAGGAGTTTGAGACCAGTCTGACCAACATGATGAAACCCTGTCTCTACTTAAAATGCAAAAATTAGCTGGGCACACACCTGTAATTCCAGCTACTCAGGAGTCTGAGGCAGGAGAATCACTTGAACCCGGCAGGCAGAGGTTGCAGTGAGCTGAGATCGCACCACTGCACTCCAACCTGGGCAACAAAGCAAGACTCTGTATCAAAAAAAAAAAAAAAAAAAAAAGGTTAAAAAAAAAAAAAAAAAAAAAAAAAAAAAAAAAAAAAAAAAAAAAAAAAAAAAAAAAAAAAAAGGTTAGGAAACAAAAAGAAGTCAGATGGAGCCAAATCAGGGTTGTATGATAGATTCTTAATGAATTCCCATCAACACTCTCACAAAATTGCCTTTATTTGGTGAGAGGAATGCGCAGGAGCATTATTGTGGCGGAAAAGGACTCTCTGGTGAAGCTTTTCTGGGGCTTTTTCTGAAAGTTTCAGCTCACTTTATCAAAACTCTCATAATAAGCAGGTGTCATTACTCTGTGGTTCTCCATACAGCCAACAAGCAAAATGCCTTGAGCATCCCAAAAAACAGTTTCCATGACCTTTGTGCTTGACTGGTCCACATTTTTTTTTGACAAAGTCTCGCTCTGTTGCCTGAGCTGGAGTGCAGTGGTGCAACCTCGGCTCACTGCAACCTTCGCCTTCCGGGTTCAAGTGATTCTCCTGCCTTAGCCTTTGGAGCAGCTGGGATTACAGGCATGCACCACCATGCCTGGCTAATTTTTGTATTTTTAGTAGAGACAGGGTTTCACCACATTGGTCAGGCAGGTCTCGATCTCCTGACCTCAGATGATCCACCTGCTTTGACCTCCCAAAATGCTGGGATTACAGGCATGAGCCACCATGCCCGGCCGGCTGGTCCCCTGTTGCTTTGGCTGAACCACTTCCCCTTCTTGGTAGCCATTGCTTTGATTGTGCTTTGTCTTCAGAACTGTATTGGTAAAGCATGTTCCAGCTCCTGTTACAATTCTTTAAAGAAATGCTTCAGGATATTGATCCTTTGTTTACCATTTCCACTGAAAGCTCTGCTCTTGTCCGCAGCTCATCTGGGGGCAACGGTTTTGGCACCCATTGAATGAAACGTTTTCTCATCTTTAATTATTCAGTCAGAATTGTGTAAGCTGAGCGAAGTGAGGTGCTGGCTGTTGTTTGTGCTGTTAGTCACTTGCCTCTTCAATTAGGGGAATTTTCCTCACAAATCAATGTGGATGGTCTGCTGCTGAGTGCTTCATCCTTAACATGACCTCAGAGTAACTGATCCATTTGTAAATTGCTGATTTCTTTGAGGCACCGTCCCCGTGAATGTTCTGTGAAGCATCAGTGATTTCACCATTCTTCCATGCAAGTGTCATCATCAGTGACACCGCTGATGTCTGTTTTTGCTTTAATTTTAGCAGAATTCTGTTGCTCTGATAGGGACTCTTTTTAAATTGATGTCTTATCATTCTCAGGCGCTAAACTAGATCCTGCTCAGACATGCTATAACAAGGTAGTTTGAGTTTATTTTGGTGCAAGAAACTTTTAAAATCCATGCATAGATTTTTCATAATACATGTTTTCCAGGAACTGAAGACCCCTTATGCTTTGTCTGACAGGCCATTCTAGCTCCAGAGCTGCCTGGAGTCAAGACCTGGGCCTGCATGGTAGTCTAATTCCTCCCTCTTCCCACTCTGCTTCCCTCACTCCCTTCCATGGGTGTTGATCACCAGGTCACTCCTTAATCAATATCCTGCACCCAAACTCCATCTAAGAATCTTAAGGAAGACAGGCAGTTGGTATTTTCTGGAATGATGAGGTGTTTGAAGCCACCACAAGGGGAGACCCATCTTGGCTGACACATAGACCTTCCCTGCTGGAAGAAGCACTCTTATCCTAGGAGTAGTATTTTGTCTTCTGTTGTGTTTAGTCCCCAATGCCCCTTTTCTGCTGCATAACCCTGTGGAAATGGGTTTGTGCCCAACTTCCCCTTTTATACGAGATCAGCATCAAAATCCTGGGGTTGCAAAAGCAGTCTGGCAGTTGAGACAGCCCACAGGCCTTACTCATTAAATGCATCCATTCATCTGCTTTTCTAAATCCCATCCCCATGTGTTGAACCATCAGAGAAATGCCTTCACTGAGGGATGGCCAGGATCATCCATCAAACACTGTCCATATGTTTACCTGACCTCGTTTCTGCAAAGACTCGCTACATATTGTTCTCACTTAAATTCATATTCAAGAGCCGTCTCATTGCAGAAAAGCCTGTTTTATTGTTTTTGTTCAGATTACCTAAATTATGTGATTAATTATAATTCCTTTGGCTGACTAGAGTATTTCAGAGTTGAGTTCCATGTCTAGCACAGTTATCTTCAGGGCCTGATGGTATCTACTCTGGTCCTTGTCCCAGGAGTCTGTGTCCTGCTTCGACTCAGTCTGTGATTTGCATAGTGTAAATGGCTGGGGATATTTTGCAAAGTCAGCACTGTTTTAAAGAAAGAAGTCCACACTGGGGTAGCTGGGTTGTTTGTGAGCTCCTTAATAGCCATAACTAGATCAGATTTGGAGCTGCAGATTTTAGGGGAATGCAATCCAGTTTGGGCCCCTCCTTTGTCTTCTTAGCTTCTCCCAGGCATCAGTCGTCCCTTAGATCCTCAGCCTGTGTCTTCCTTGAGGGAAAATCTCTCTTTGCTTAAAATCTAATGCTTTTTAGGATCAGGACTTAGGAAGTGTAAATGGCACACACATGGGCCTCAACTCTGCCTGTAGCTCACCGTGTGGCCTCAGCAAATTTCCGTCTTCTCTGTAGCGGCAGTGTTGAGGGATCGTTAGGTTCCAGCTCTGATACTTTTGGGTTCTCTGTCAGGACTACGAGGAGGATCCTTGGCTCTTGATGTGGCCAGGGTATCTGAGAAGCAAGGAGAGCTCAAGGGCCAGCCAGGGTGTTGGTGAGCTGAAAGGGTCGAAGATGGCAGAGCTGAATGGGCCGGGGTTACTGTGATGCTCGGGTCCGTCAGCCTCCCAGCTCTGGGGATGATGAGATGAAGGTTGGAGAGGCTCCCTAGGTTCTTACGTCATCTATGCATGTCCAAAAGTTTAAGGATTACTGAGTGCAACACCTCATTTTAGAGAAGAGTAAACTGAGGCCCAGAATGAGAAGGAATTTTCCTAAGTTTACAAAGTAGCACATAGGTTGAAGCAGGACTGAGGGCCCCTGGCTCCCATGTGGAAGAGACAAAGAATGGGCAGGAGGAGGACAAGGGCCACAACCTCTCCTCTCAGTCCATCATGATTCATCACTTGGCAGTGGCCACATGGATAATCACAAAGCCCTTGATATCTGGGAAGTGAGGGCTTACAAGGTCCACCTGCAGCTGCCTTGGGCCACTCTTGGAGGGGGTGATGTCAAATTGGACTGAAGTTCTTTCCTGGGGCTCCAGGGTGGGCACGCTGAAGGAAAAGGAGGGAAGAAAGGCAGACCATCAGTCCTCTTGCCATTCTGAGTCTGGCCTGCCAGTCCATGGCTCCCCAGACTCCTCAGAATCAAGTTCACCTTGTGGCTTGACATTCAAGCCTTATCAACATGTTTCCAGGTCAGGTGCAGTAGCTCACTCCTGTAATTCCAACACGTTAGGAGGCTGAGGCAGGTGAATCACCTGAGGTCAGGAGTTTGAGACCAGCCTGGCCAACGTGGTGAAACCCCATCCCTACTAAAATACAAAAATTAGCCAGGCATGGTGGTGCACACCTGTAATCCCAGCTATTTGGGAGGCTGGGGCAGGAGAATTGCTTGAACCTGGGAGAAGGAGGTTGCAGTGAGCCGAGATCATGCCATTGCACTTCAGCCTGGGCAACAGAGTGAGAGGCTGTCTCAAGAAAAAAGAAAAAAAACAAAAACAAACAAACAAACAAAACCACCAATAACGTGTTCCCGATTTAATTTCCTCTTCTACTACCCACACTCTTCCCATCCAGCCAGGCTAGTTTTCTCTCTGTGCCCTAAACTTCCCTCCTCTAGGCTTTCATCTGCATTGTTCGTCCCACCTAGGATGACTTCCTTATTCCAATTCACCCAAAGCCCAGATCAAGTTCTCTTCTTCCAGGAGATTTTCCCTGATGACACCAGTCATTGAGACCTCTGCCTGGCAAACTGTCCTTCCTCCTTGATACCTGAAAATCTCAGTTCATTGTTTGACTCAGCTCAAATATCAGCTCCACTGGGACTTCTTCCTGGTCCCTCACTTAAGGGCTGCTTTTGCTCCCCCAGATCTTGGACAAGGTCTTTTCCACAAATCACTGTCCTCATGTGAAGGGCCATTTGTATCTGAGAGCCTTTCTCCGGGCAAAACTCCTCCTGTCCATCTTAGTGTTTCTAACAATTACACGTGGCCCAGAGCACAGGTCAGTATAATCAAGGGCCATATGAGTAGCAAGTGAATGAATGGAAGAATGAAGGAGTGAATGAATGACTGACAATGAATAAGTAAATAAAGGAATCCATGAATGAATGGGAACACGTGTGAATGAATGAGTGAAGGATATAGGTATGAATAAATGAAAAATGAGCAAATGAGTGAATAAATGAGTAAGCAAATTCAAGAATGAATGAATGAATGAGAGATCAAATGAATGAAAGCGAGTGAATAAATAAATGGATAAATAAATGAAAATATGAATCAATGATATGAGTGAATGACTGAGTGAATGAGTTGTATGATTGAGTAAATGAACGATTAAATGAATGAAGAAATAAATAAGTGAATGAAGGCTGATGTGTATAGGCTGTGGGCTGGTTCCTGGGAGGTCCAGAATCTCTCCTGCACCGCCCAGCCTTGGTAACTTCTCTCTGGTTCATCCATAAGGAAGGCAGCCCCATTCCCTGCCAACCCCCCAGGCTGGCACTTACTCGATGCTGAGCTGTCCCTGGAGAAGGCCGCTGCCCTCCACCATCAGCACACAGTCCTTTACTCTCTCTAAGATTGGGTTGACTACTGTCACTTCCACTGTAACTGCCACTCCCACCACGGCTGGGCCCAGAACCTGAAGGGACACACCCATGAGTCATCCCACCTACCCCTCCTCCCTCCAGGAAACCAATGGTCCTGTCTGAGTTAGAGGATGGACCATTAGTCCTGTACACCCCCACCTCCATATATCCCATTACTGAGTGCCACCATTGCACCCATCCCCTTATGTCCAGTCCACTCCTCCCATCCTTTAGAGCTAAAGCTGGGGTTAAAGGCACAAAGCCCCCAGCTTCTGACACCCTCTCCCAGGTCTGGGTGTGGGGGTTGCTGCTAGGAACAGCATGCTAGAAGCAAGCTGAGGTCACCTTGATGGTGATGAAGTCCTCTAGAGTAATGTCCTTCTCTACCAGAAGCTTCTCTCCTTTGGTGACAAGGCACATGGCAGCCAACAGGATCTTCTTGTCCTCTGTTAGGTCTTCTTTATACTTAGAGTAAGATATTGCAATTGGGATTCTCTTCTCTGGAAGGGAAAGCAGATGTGGGAGTTAGGGCTTGATGTCTTTCTTCAGTGGCACTGGGTAGAAGGAAGAGAGTGCCCAACTAATAGCTCCGTTCTCTGTGGTCCTTGCAAGAAATAAATAAGTGAAGAAATAAAGAAACCATTCTGAGACAGGCTTTATTCTCCTCAGTTCTCAGGTGAAGAAACCTAAGGCTCAGAGAGGGTATTTTCTTGTCTAAACTCATATAGGAAGTAAACCAAGAAATTAAGATGAGGTGGGATTCAGATTTAGGCCAGGGAGCTACCACAATACCAGATTATTTCTCCACGAGCCCCTGGAGATGTTTCCAAACTTTCCCTAATTATTCAATATAGAAGTCTCTCAACCCATCAGCCATTCATCCCATACGTCACTGTTTATTGAGCACCTACTATGTGCTAGGTGCAGAGAAGAGGAAGACCAAAGGCCTGCCTCAATCTTCCAATCTTGTGAGGCCAATTTCCCTCCATGAAGGCTCAGTCCTGGTCAACCCCACCAACTGTGAGAAGTCTTTACTGATACTTCCACCCAGTGCTCTCATACTCTCTGAACTCCTGTGGTCCTGGCCTTCTCTGTCCCCCTTACAAACACCCTGCCTATGTGCTCTTTTCTTGTAAGCATGGATTACCACAAACCTCAGTCATATTTGTTTTTTTCTACTATATATTCTTTCTTTTAGGTTCAATGTGCTCTTTCGGGTTTGCTCCCAGGCCCTCTTGTTCCCTGTTGTTCTAACGGCCACTGCTTCCTTTCTTTCTTTCTATTCCTGACTCTGAAGGCATCTGAGTTTTTAACTAAAGGAAAAAGTCCTTAAAAGCCTCAACTTGGCTCATGTGCTCTGCTACCCCAGGGCATTGCACATCGTAGATTCTCCTGAATACCAGTAGGTTGATTTATGTGTTCAAGTATGATTTTGTTTTATGGGCTCCCTTCGTTCAGTAGGTCAATACTGTAAGAACCGTTACTACAATAAAAGTAATAAATAATAATTATAGGCTGGGAGTGGTGGCTCATACCTGTAATCCCAACACTTTGGGAGGCCGAGGTGGATGGATCACCTGAGGTCAGGAGTTCGAGACCAACCTGACCAACATGGTGAAACCCTGTCTCTACTTAAAAAAAAAAAAAAAATACAAAACCAGCTGGGCGTGGTGGTATGCACCTGTAATCTCAGCTACTCAGGAGGCTGAGGCAGGAGAATTGCTTGAACCCAGGAGGCAGAGGTTGTAGTGAGCCGAGAGAGCACAACTGCATTCCAGGCTGGGTGACAGAGTGAGACTCTGTCTCCAAATAACAATAATAATAACAACAACAATAATAATGATAAAACCTAACATTTACTAAGGAACTAAAGTGTGCTGCATTTGAAATTGCTTTCGAGGATTGACTCATTTAATCCTTACTGCAATTCCATGAGCAGGTATTATTATTTTTATTTATTTTTGAGATGGAGTCTTGCTCTGTCACCCAGGCTGGAGTGCAGTAGTGTGATCTCGGCTCACTACAACCTCTGCCTCCCAGGTTCAAGAGATTCTCCTGCCTCAGCCTCCTGAGTAGCTGGGAATACAGGCGTGTGCCACCACACCCAGCTAAGTTTTGTATTTTTAGTAGAGATGGGGTTTCACCATGTTGGTCAGGCTGGCCTCGAACTCCTGACCTCGTGATCTGCCTGCCTCGGCCTCCCAAAGTGCTGGGATTACAGGTGTGAGCCACTGCACCTGGGCTCAGGTATTATTATTTTTATCCCCAACTTTTGATAATAATATAAAAAACTGATAAAAAACTGATAATAAACAACATAAATTGAATGTTCATTAGGTAGCAGGGATAATGCCCAATACTATATATACATTAAATCATGTATCATTTACTCCTTGCATGGTGATAGACTACGGTTCTCCAGGTGTGGTCCTCGGATCAGTGGCATCAGTGTCACCTGTGAACTTGTTAGAAATGTAAATTCTCAGTCTCCAGCCTGAAGAACCACCATATGCCACCATATGACACTCATGAGCTGAGTTCTGGGCATCAGTTCAGACCCTGGGAGAAAGGAGGAGAAAAGTAGCCCATTAAAGTGTTCAGATCAGGGTTTCTTGAAGTCTTCTGGCTCACAGACTCCACCAAGAATCTAATAAAACCTGAGACTCCTTTCCCTAGAACAATGGTTCTCAATAGCACCATCACTCAACTAGACATAGCTGACATCTGCAGAAGATTGCATCCAGCAACAGCAGGATACACATTCTTCTCAATCTCACATGGAGCAGTCACCAAAATGGATCAAATTCTGTGGCACAAATGATACTTAACAAGTCTAAAGTAATAGAAATTATGCAGTGTATGCCCCAGAACACAATGAAATTAAACTGGAAATCAGTGACAGAAAGAGAGCTGAAAAATCTAAAAAACCTAGATATTAAACAATACACTTCTAGAAGAACACATGGGACAAAGAAGTCTCCAGAGAAATTTAAAAGTATTTTGAAGTAAATGAAAACGAACATACAGCTTATCAAAATTTGTGGGCACATGCTTGCAGTCCCAGCTACTTGGGAGGATGAGGAGGGAGAATCACCTCAGCCCAGGAAGTTGAGGCTACAATGAGCCATGATCATGCCACTGTACTCCAGCCTGGGTGACAGAATGAGACTCTGTCTGAAAAGCAAAGCAAAACAAACAAACGAACAAACACCCCCAACACAAAAATTGGTAGGATGCAGCAAAAGTAGTGCATAGAGAGAAGTCTATAATATTCAGTACATATGGTAGAAAAGAATAAAGATCTAAAACCAATAATCTAAGCTTCTGCTTTAGGAAACTATAAAAAGGAAAACTCATCATAAGCAGAAGAAAAGAAATAATAAAAATTGAAGCAGAAATCGGCACAATTGGAAATCAGAGATCAACAGAGAAAATCAGCAAAACCAAAAGCTGGTTCTTTGAAAAGATCAATAAAGTCAATAAGCCTCTAGCAAGGCTTAGAAAAAAGGGAGAAGGCTCAAGTTACTAATATGATAAATGCTAGAGAGGGCATCTCTACAGATCCCGTGGACATTAAGAAGACAGTAAAATTAACAAGTTTGGGGAGTTAGGAAAAAAACAGATAGTGAAGGAATATTATGAACAACTTTATGCCTACAGATTTGATAATCTAGATGAAAGGGACCAGTTTCTGAAACAAAAAATCTGCTAAAACTCACATAAGAAGAAACAGACAATCTATTAAAAAATTGAATCAGTACTTAATAACCTTCCAAACCAGAATGCATTAAGGCCAGATGGGTTCATTGGTGAATTATACCAAGCATTGAAGAACAAAAATTATAGCAATTCTCTACAGTCTTTTCCAGAAAATAGAAGCAGAGACATACTTCTTAATTCATTCTGTGAGGCCAGCATTACTGCATTACCTTAATGCCAAAATCAGCCAAAGACATTGCAAGAAAAGAAACTACAGATCAATATGAACATAAATGTAAAAATTCTCAACAAAATATTGGTAAATTGAATCAACAATGTATAAAAAATTACATGACATGATCAAGTGAGATTTATTCCAGGCATGTAAGGCTGGCTCAATATTAAAAGTCAATTATTATAGTCCATCAAATCAAAGGAAAAAAATAACATGATCATATCAATAGACACAGAAAAAGAATTTGATAAAATCCAACACCCATTCCTGATAAAGCTCTCAGCAAACTAGGAATAGAGGAGAAATTTACTCAACTTGATAAAGAACATCTATAAAAAACCTACAGCAAATATTGTACTTAATGGTGAAAAACTGGAAGCTTTCCCATGATGATTAGGAACAAGGCAAGGATGTCCCGTCTTACCATTCTTTTTCAACATCATATTGGAAGTCCTAGCTAGTGCAATAAGACAAAACAAGGAGATAAAATGTACACAGATTGGGAAGGAAGGAATAAAACAGTCTTTGTTCACAAATGATATAGTTGCCTATATAGAAGATCCAAAAGAATGATTAACAACAACAAACAAAAAATCCTGGAACTAATGAGTGGTTATAGCAAGATTACAGGGTATAAGATTAACATACAGAAGTCAATCACTTTCCTATATACCAGCAATGAACAATTGGAAATTAAAATTAAAAACATAATACCATTTATGTTAGCACCATCAAAAATGGAATATTTAGGCATTAATCTAACAAAATATGTACAAGATCTACATGAGAAGAACTGTAAAACTCTGATGAAAGAAATCAAAGAACTAAATAAATGGAGAGATATTCCATGTACATGGATAGAAAGACTCAATATTTTTCCTTTCCTTAAAAAGGCTCAGTTTTTCCTAACTTGATCTATAGATTTAATGCAATCTGAAGAAGTTATTTTGTGGATATTGACAAACTGATTCCAAACTTTATGTGTGAATGGGAGAGAAGAATGAAGAGAAGCTGGATAATGGGGACAAGATACTTAGAAAGAATAAGTACTAATATTTCATAATACAGCAGGAAAATTATAGTTAACAGTGATTCATGGCATGTTTCTAAATAGCTAGAATAAGCAAATCATAATGTTTCCAACACACAAACAAGATACAGATAAATGTTTAAGGTGATGGATATCCCAGTTACCCTGATTTGATTGTTACACATTCTATACATGTATCAAAATATCATGTGTACCCACAAAATACGTACTACTATGACATATCAATTAAAATTTTTTTAAACAGCATGACATAAAAAAAAGTTTATGTCAAGAGGCAAAAGACCCAGAATAGGCAATACAATATTGAAGGAGGGAACAAAGTTGGAGGACTGGCACTACCTGACTTCAAGATTTACTATAAAGGTACAGTAATCAAAACAGTGTGGTATTGGTGAAAGAATGGACAAGGACAGGCATACCTTATTTTATTGTGCTTCATTTTATTGTACTTTGCAGATATTGCATTTTTTACAAATTGAAGGTTTATGGAAACCCTGAGTCAGGCAAGTCTGTAA